GCAAAAGGCAGCATCATCACACCTAAATGGGCTTCTAGCCTTGTTCATAATCTAGCAGTACCTACTTCTCATAGGCAGCAAGTCTAACAGAGACCACTCATCTAGTTAAGCAGGTTAAAGTAAAATACATTAAAATCTTCAAGATAAGGAACCAACAAGCCTCACTGTCTCACTGTAAGAAGGCAATGGTAGTGCAAGTTAATGAGATATGGTGTCTTTTGAAAGCTTAGGAACTCCCAGCCAAAAGATTTCAGAGACCAAAGTGTCTTTCATGATCTGTGAATTTGTAAGGGGGAAGTCAGTGTGGTAAGAAGAAACTGAAAATTGTTCACAGTTAATAACAGACTTACAAAGCACGAACAATTTAGACACTCTAAAGTGATTCATTAAATAAAAAGTACCTTTTTCAGATGCAAAATACCTTGCATAGCTTTAGATTTAAAACATTTTTGTAGCCAAACCAATCAGTTTAGGTTTGTACGGGAAAAAAATTGAGGGAAGTTTTCTTTTTCAGATGCAGTAGTCTAAATTCAGTCTTCTACATTTAGGGTCAAACACCTCAAATGGAAATACTGACTGCAGCCATGTGAGAGAAATGTGGGCCTGCATATTTAGAGAGAGAACAGGTTGGCTGTTGAATGCACAACATACCTTTGGCTTTTACAACTGTTACATTAGCATCTTTCTTATGGTGTTCTTCTGGGAATACTGGGGTCAAGGGCTCTGTTGCAGCATCTGGAAAGAAGCAGTTTATTTAATATTGCAGATGTTATTGGAAAGGGTTTAAGAATCATAAAAAGCAAGCGTGAGAGGAGATTGAAGGTGCTGCCAGCTGCAAAGATGTGTAAGGTGTACTGTTACTCTTTTGCTTAGATTTCTGCAGCATGACCAGTGGTCCCAGATACTGCATCAACAGCAGCAGCAAGACTGTGTTCCTGCAGCATGGATTATAAAATAGCACGAGGAAAGTGCAAACTGCAGGGAAGCTTCTTGCTCAGTAAGTTTTCAGTCTGTGAGCGTCCTTGACAATGAATGTAACTGAGAGTATTTCTATCAAAGTTAGCATATATTTAAAAAAAAAACCCCAAACAAATATCTGTAACTAACCTCTTTGGGAATTCTCTATTGGAGCATCTGTTGCCTTCTCTAGAAGAAAAAAGATAGAGACAATTTCCTCATAAGCACAGGTAAAGGGACCACGTGTACTGAATATAGTCTAATAACACGAGCACCCTTCTTCAGTGTTCTCTCTCCCTCATGCCCCATTTGAGATCTCAAATACTTTATAAAAATCCTCTGAGAATTCATATAAGTCACAAGACAAGTATCTACAGATATTAGATACTGAGATTGTTTTCCCCAGGACTTGCATACATTTAAAGATACCTGTCTCCTACCAAATCATTCCAGTGAAGCTAAGAAAGGGTTTCCCTATCCGTTACTGCAATCTCGTCATACCTCCTCTTGGGGACTGGGAACAGGTTGGTTTTTAAAGCTACAGAATGACTCATTACCAAGAGAATATTTGCAAATGAAGTTATTTTTCATGTTGCATCTGTCGTCATTCCATTGAAACATGTAAGGACCTCCGACACCTGGTGGGGCAGATGGCTGGTGGTACATCACAACACAGATTTCACTCCCACACGATGGCTCATCTACATACCAATTCCTAAGAAAATACAACAAACACGTCAAGTAAGACTTGATGCCACATTCCACTGTACTGCAGAAGCTCAGATGGGAATACAGCATACAGGGCACCACACAGGGCAGAATCAAAGAGGATTACAGCTCAGCACACCCCACCCCACCCTCACTCCCTGCTTTCACTGTATAAAAGTGGGAACAATAACAATACAATACTTTACAGTGTATTGTCCCTTTTAATTCTTAATTTTCAAATAAAACCGAGCAGCAAGGTGTACAACAAATATTAGGGAGCAAAGGGCTGAGTGCCCTTACAAATTTGAGGTTAATTTGTCGACCCCTTACATCTGGATGGGATGAATCACTCTCTGGAGATACTACCAGTCTTCAGTGACTGCAGAAGGTACACAGATGACTGCTAGGAAAACACTGCTTGATTGTTTTGAAAGAATCCTTTCTGATTGCTAAGGGCAGGGGAGAGTCCCTGACCAGGTTGCTTTCCAGTCTCACTCACGGGTACCTACCGGAACTTGGATGAGCTGCCATCTGACCAGGAGTAGAGGTTCTGACACTCTGTACTATTGTCTACCTCCTCCTTTTTCCTCCTAAGCCCTATCCAGAAATCTCCATCAGAAGCTAAGAGACTCTCAATAAATTTTTCAATCAGTCTTTGCTCTGCTTCTGTTTCAATACTGACTAGATGTCCGCCATCAGCTCTGCAAGCAAGGTGCGCTTCTTCATAGCTGATCCTGCGTGAAGCATCGTGAAAGTAAACTATTTTGTAGCACGGTTGCTGTGTTCCACCCCGGCAAACTGCCTGTCCTGCAGAAATGGAAAGAAATCTGTTACAGAAACTATGCCTGTTAGCACCAAATGTGACCACTAAAACTTCCATTTGGTTGAGTTTTGCACTGTTTTTTTTGCACGTAGTTTATACGGAAACCACAGCGCAGGTAAAAAGCCTCTTGTATTACTGGACTGGGAAATGGCATCTCCAAACTTTTCTTACTGCACGTAACAGTTTAGGCTGATCCGCATAGCACTGTTCTTTCATGTCCTGCACTTCTCAGGTCCCTCATGAATTTTCTGTGATTTGAAGACCCTAGGAGCTCCTTACAA